TCCATGAAACATAACACATCCTACCAAATACCAGATTTGCATGGGAGAAACAAAGGGAGTGAAAGTCCAGAGTACAAAACCTTTGAGCCTAAGAAAAGGTGCACTATGGTAATTCAGACCCACACTTATGGCTGAAGCAAGTTATAATCAGTAGGAGATAACTGTGTTACTGATTTGGAGTTGGAAAAACTGTCATATGCCTGCCCTACTTAGTATTCTTCTATTTTCAATATTTCTGCTTTATTCTTATATTCATGGGAATAAATACAGCACATAAGAAGCCCTCTTCAGGACCTTGACAACCAATGGGAGAAGCGACTTAAGAGGCCCGTGCACAACACGTGAAGAAAAATAAACCTTCTGGCACTAGTTCTGACTTAATTGTGAATTAGGGCAGTGAGTTACTGAAGGAAACATAAAAAGACCTGGCTTTAGTGTAAGATCCTAATAATTGCTCCCAAGAGTAGCACAGGCATGCAGTACAGCAAAGCAGCAACTTCAGCAGGGGTAGAGGGGGAGAAGAACCGGAGTATTTCAAGCTGCTTTAGGATGCAGCAGTTCCTATGGAAGGCACATCTATCACGATGGTTTTCATTGAAAACCCCTGTTGTTTCCACGTGTCAAAAGGTAACAACAGGCATGAAAATCTTTGGGAAGTTGTAGTGTACCTGTGTGCAGCCATGTGAGTGAGTAAGTGTGTGTGTATGGGTGAGAGAAGTAAAAAAGTAATTTTAAAACTAAAAAAACTAGATACAACTTCAAAACTTTTTCTCCTTCTGTCTCCCCCACTCCCAGAATGACCAGCAAATGACTCAAATCTTTGTGAAACAAATACTAAGTTCATGGACAAGCAAATGTAAATTCACTTTTTTGTTCTAGTCATATCTTGAATTGTGGCTGTGTTTTGTAGAACGAAGAAGGGTAATTGGAAGGGACAAAATAGTTATGTAATTAAAAGTAACACAGTAGTTAGTTTAAATGCTACTTACCTCCCTCTCCTCGTAAACTCTGGTCTCTAATCAAGTCCTATAAAAAGTTAAAAAGCTGTATTTAATTTAGGTATTAACACTTACATTCTAGCATCAAATGAGACTGATAGGTTTGTGAATTCATAGTGTCATATGTTGCCCATGAAATAAAAGTGGTTTCCTACCCTGACTTACTAATAGCAATGACTCAAAGAACTACTACTCAAAATTAAGTTGCTTTAAAACAGCATCTCTCTGCAGTAAAGTGAAATGTACACCACCCAAAAGAGATGCTGACAAGAAAATATTGACTTAAAAACATATCTGATCAAAGCATAGAAAGAAATATTGAGTAAAATGTTCCTGTTACAGTAGCAGAAATGGTTTGAGTTGTCATATCAGAACCTTGGACACCAATTTTCTGTACTGAAGTACATCAGTTCAATGAATCCTGCTTTGATTTTTCTTGTAACAACACACCTGATTTGCATAGCCAGGCACACTGTTCTTCTCAGAAATGACTAACTTCACTTTCTTCACTTGCAATCCTCTGTGAGCTGAAACTATCTTTTGCAACATGCCCAGACTAAAAGCAAACTACACTAAGGATTCTATAAACAGAAGGAGAAAATTCTAGTAGATTGCTTCTGTATGTCCGTTTTTATAAAAAAGCCTTTTTTGGATTACACTATTATGTTTATTCCCTTCTTGTTCCATAATTATATTTGTTCTCTTAACCACCTGTGCTTTGCCAAAAGCCCTGGCTATGCCTCAGCTGCACCACTGCCATATACCACATGCAAATGCCTACATAGCCACACTAAAATTAACATTTCGCCTTTCCCTCAGCTCACATGCAAAACTGATTTTGTGCCTCAGTGTCCAGGCAGATTTCAAGACTTCTCACCCAACAAATGACTGATTTCTAGAGAACAGGTTTAAGGATAAAATACAAACTGCGCATGTTAGCAAAGCTAGCAAAAGGTAACATCTTGAAAGGTCCTGTCTTTATGCTAATACCAACCATTATTATTAGTTACATTTCACCATCAAGAGATTTCAAAACTGTGGAAAAAACCTTAATGCAGCAGTTTCTGAACACTCCAAAGGAATTCTCAGAACAACATAAACTGGGCTCTTAAAACTCTTAGGGAACTATCAGAATATGTGAACTCAGTTTAGTTTAATTATTTAGTTTCCCTTCAATGCCAAAATTATTACATGGAATACAAATACTAAAAAGTCTATCTTGCGTAACAATGTGTTTAACACAGAATGGTTTGCAAGAGTGGCTACTGGCTACAGCTAACAGCATAAGCCTTGGGATTAATGGCAGGGAAAAAAAAAACAGTTGTTTGGGGTAGAATGTTTCTTTGAGAATGAAAAGGACAGAACTGTCAAAAAGCAGTTCTGCTTTCAGAGAAGGGATTATTTGTGCTCTTACACCTCTCAACAGTATAAAATAAACTATAAAAAAATGAAAAATTAATGATCTTTGAAGATTCTGGCTGACCACAGAGGATCATCATAGAAACAGTGTACATTGTGTACACAATGAATTCAACACACTGATATTCACAAGGAACACATCACATCTACTGTTCCTGATCTAATGGCTACCAGTACTTACATCAATATTGACTGGCTCGATTGTATTGATGTGGACGTTGGGAGCTGAAGAGGATCGGTCGCGTTGCCCAAATTGATTCCGATGGTCTTCATCTGCTGGTCGGAGGGGCTGTGGGATTGGAATGGATTTTGAAGGAGAAGGACTAGGGAGAATTGGTGGTCTGAGAAACAAAGTCAAGGAAAAAGAGGATTTAGGTCTACAAATGGCTTCAAACACTGCATAGTGGGTGTGGTAAGTCCTTTTCAATTATAATAATACATAACAAAAAAACTGATCTAAAGCCCTGAATTAAAGCAATTTATAATTTACCATCTCTACTTCCCTATGATCAATTGCAACAACTCTCTGTGCATCAACTACCTGACCACATGGCTGTGAAGTGTTCCGAATTAAAACAAAGAAAACTCTACCATACCATGTCAAACTACTAATAATAAATCCTGACCTGAAAAACTCATGCTGACCAACATGCATTGCTGATAGCAAGATACTCTGCAGTTTCCTCACCTCTGAGTAAATGCAATACACTCATTTTAATGGTTACCAATTGAGAACTAAAAATGCTTAACATCTCATATTAACGTTACAGTCAGAAAATGTCATAAAACAAAATGTATGAATGGGATTATTTTTCAACAAAGAAAGAGTAAAAATTACTTCTGGTCATTCAACTCAATTGATTAATAATGATGTATTACTGATACTAAAAAATAACATGGCCAATGTATCATTGATACTAAAAATAAACATATCACCCTTTAAGCTCAACCTTTAAGAAACAATTTTGAATAGCACAACATTTCAAATGTTATTTACAGTGCTACAATGCAATAGGTTTGACTGAAAAGGTAAGTGTTCAGAACACACAAACAAGCTTCCTGAAGAAATGCAAAAACTGACAGTCATAAATGTAGATAAAGCCTTTAATTATGGTATAATGAATTGAATATTCAAAAGATAAAACAACTGAACACTTGAGTTTTTTGTTTGTAAAAAGGCAGAAAGTTACTTCTTTGGTTATCCATTAATTTTGTTGAAGTGCAATGAACTGGCAATTATCTCTTACCCTAGTCAAGGTCAGTCACTGTTAAGCATAATGATTCAATCTAATGGATGTAAGGCAAAAGGCTAATGAAAACTCCTGCCACCTTTGTCAAGAGAAAACTTCATGGCAAAATATACACGGTATCTGACAACAAGGTTTTTAAGAGTTGTTTTATTTTTCTATGTTCTAAAAGAGGAGGGGAGTCCTCCAGCCATTCCATGACTCATGGATTAATTATCAAGCCAACAAAGGCAATGCCCACAGGGACAAGCTTCAGAAACAAAACAGACAGCAGCATATAGCAGCAATATGTCCTGATGCCACCTCCTGTAAGCAGTGCTACTTGGCCTCTTCAAAAACTTTTGGGGAAACTAACATTTTCAACAGGACATCTGTGGTATTCCTTAAAATCAGAGGGTTTTGGGCACATTGCAAAAAGCAGGCCTCAGAGACAGCAGGATGGCGATTAGAGCTAAGCAGTAGCTATAAGATTTGTCAGCAGAAAAATTACACAAGAAGTAGAAAGAAAGGACAAATAGAACAATGGTCTGTGTATTAATGCTTGGGTAGAATAACTGCCTAAGTTGCAGAAAAGTATCTCTGGTGAGATAGTAGGAAGTTCTAAACTTAATAATGGAGCTCTGTGCATTGTATCTTAAGGCTTACAAGCAAGTATTATATTTGAAATAAGCAAGCACTGTTTTAACCGAAGGTACGTGTATTCATAGTGATTGGATAGAACTACTGTCAATATGCTTTTGCTTTGTGTGATTGGTCAAAAAGCTTTTAAACTAAGTTGTAACATTAAGTTCTCAGTCTGCTGCCTAGGATGTGAACTGCTGGCGTCTTCCCATTGTCATAACCATGTAATGAGACTGATGCTAAAATATAAACAGCTCGAGATGCATACCTCAGCAGTCTCATCCTGTTCATGATTTGTACATAGTCCCCCAGCCAGTGATAGACATCTTGGCATTTTTTCAGAAACAGCTCTGGTTTATAACCTACTATCCTACCTTTCATTGAAAAGTTTATCCAGTTTGGCATTGATCCCAGAAATCAGTGTTATCTGTATCCTAAGTACCTGTCATCTTTTCCTTCCTGGCCAATAATCTCACAACTGAAAATGGTAAAACAGTGCTTGTGAATTAATTCAAATAACAGTCTAGTAAGTCTTCCAAAGAAATACCTGAATATGTTATGGAAGTGGGGCAGGATAGAAGAGGCATGGGGTTTATACCCTGCAAAAAGCAGTTACCTACTGTCACATGACAGTATAGATATTGGGAAGATACTGGCAAGCAATGAACTAAAACTACCAATAGTCAAATCTCTGAGAAAGGACCTTGAAAACCGCAGCATTTCAGAAGTTGTTTATTATTTCAGAATTATTTTTTCTTAATGCAGTTGTTGTACATACATGTAAGCTGAAGTTTTCATTCACTGCTGTGCGAGTACCTTCAGGTAAAATATTGCAGATGAAGTTTTGAACTCCTGAATGTGTTTGTAAGTAAATCATGTGACTAGAATACACAGCAGGAGATGGGACACTGCACACATCCCACTGCAGGATTTGACTGACATTTACAGGCACTCCATTCTCATGTTAAGGCAAGTGTGTCAAATGCTGCACAAAAAAAGTATAAGAAGAAAACTCTAACAAGTGTCTAAACCAGGCCAGTACTGTCATTGTTGGGATAGCTAACTCCTGCTTAAACTTCCTGGGAGTTCTCAGGTAATAAGGAAATTAAGGGATGTATATCACAAAACCCATCAGAACACTGCACCAGGACTGACTGACACACCATCTGAGCTCTGCCACATGACAAAAACAGAAGCAATCAGATATTGTGATCATGAGTAAGCCAAGGAAAAGAAAACCAGATTGAGGCAATATTGTTTCAATTACATCCTCCTTTGAGTCATAAATGGTCATCTGCTACTTCTGTATTTCTGGTCACAGGTCATCATGTCCATCATGTTGCTTAACAGCATGCTACACCATACCATGTTTGAAAAAAACTTGAACAGCTTTTTCTTCTCACTAAATTCTTATTGAGGGAAGTCCAGATCTTTAGAAAATAATTGCAGGCTGATAAAGAATTATCTTTTTTTTTTTTTTTTTTTTGTTTCTTAAGCTATTACATGAAGGATCTCTGGGCTTTAGACAACAAAGAATCCAGAGATGGGGATCTCATAAGCAGTTATTAATGGGTGTCCTTGAGACACTTTGAAAAACATAGGTTATTTCTGATAAATGGAATTTTTCCTCAAAAAAGGTAACCAGTGAAGTAAAAGAGACAAGGGGTTTGCTTGCTAGTCTACTGAGATCACAAGCTCAGAAAAATATTACCACCAGCTTCCATCTGTGTGTGGCAAAAGCTAGATCTTGATCAGCATCAAGATCTTATTCTATCAAAATCATGTAACCACAAAGAACACAGTGATCCTCTGAGCTACCAAAAGGCTGTTCCTACAGTATTCCTACACTGAAATTACTCAAGAGGAGGTGTTGTGACACTGGAGCTAAAAGGGCCAGATATCATCATTTGGAAAAGGGTGACATGGTCTATTCCAGGCCAGTTCCAAAACTGTTCTTAGTTCTTAGGTTATGGAAGCATAGTGATGACAAAACACGCTACAAGACAAAAAAAAGTCCCAAATAGCAGCCAAACAAAAAGTCCCCCAAAAACCCCAAATACACCTAAGAAACTTAAAGCAAAAAACCAATCCTCACTCCCCAAAAAATAACAGGCTAAGGCTTAAAGGAACATGCAGTTTGAATATCAGGATCTGAGTTTCTGCTGCTCCTGTGGCCTTTGTGAACAGTTTACAGTCACCTTGATAAAGGAGACCTTCTACAAGGAAGCAGATAAATAACTTTCTCCCAGCCTCTGAGATGTGGGCACTCTTTTAACAAATTATTCTCGGCTTCTGAGGCAACAAGCTGATGTTGTCAAATCTCAATCCAGTATGTTACAACCTTTCCTGGCAGTATGACAGAACATGATTTTACCTTAGACCATATGTTTGGGATTAGTACATTTTTCCCTCCCTTTTTATCAGACAAAACAGAAAGATGTTTTATCAGGAAACAAGAATAACTGATAAGAATAACTTATACCCTTTACCAAGCATAGCAAGTACCCATGTGTCCACAGCTTAACTATCCCACGAAACTGGGTCCACAAGAAAGAGTAAAGTAACTCAGAAACTAGTCTGCCCATGTTATGCTATATACAAACAAACAATTTTATAAAATCATATACAGTATGTCTATTGGATTTTAGAATTTGCAGTGATATAACTATGTTGACTTTACAAATGCAAAATAAAATTTTAATATAGATTTTCCTTAATGTCCTTTACTCACCAATGGATGCCTCATAAGTGTTTAAGAGCTGGTCTACGCAGGAAAGATTTTTCTTGAAATTGTTCTTATGATAGGTGTATTTAGGCTTCAAGTTTTTGTTGACCGTATTTCTGTTTTGCTGTACTTGAGCAAACACTTGAACTGAAAATTCACATTCACCTAGCCTCAATTATAAGGTGTGCACCTGTTCCTTTTTAAAATGACAGCGTCTCTCCTGGACTGAGATTCTTTCTCCTCCTTACACCCTGAACAAGTCCATCTCAGTTTAGCCACTGGGCTCAGTGCTGCACACACTATTACCTGTAAGGCTGCACACTCATATCCAAACCTACTGCAAGCTAAAATGTGTATCAAGGCTTTTTTTTTGACTGCTTTTGTTTATATCAGTGTTAACACCAGGATTTGGTTGTTGTTACTGTTCTTAATAAAGAACACATTGCTTTTCCAGTTCCAAGCAGTTTCTCAGGACTGCTAAGGATCTGGGACACAACGGTATTTCAGTGATAGTAGCAAGCAGGTAAATTTAAATTGTGGAGGCCAAACAGGTTCTGATTTGACTATTTAATTATTTAATCATTGCCAGAAAATTTAACTTTTTAATTTCTTTCCTCATCCCTGCAGCCTGGAAATACTCAACAATCCCAAATTAAATGCCGATTTGTAGAAAAAGACAGCAATACCAATTTGTAACTACAAGCTAAATATCTTTCTTGCAGCACTCTCTAGGAAGTCAGCCTAGAAGCATCATGGGACAGATCTGTAAGTCATTACCCTACACAAATTAGTGTAGGTGAAAAACAACTGCCAGGAGTACCACAATGATGTGCACTCATTTATAATGGCCTTTTGGCCCAGATCAAAGCTGATGAGCCTAAAATTCCTGACAGCTTCACATACCAGAGGTTATCAAGACAACCACACTGTCACTGTTAGACCTCCAAACCAGGTCCAGTTCACTAGCAGGTTTTTGCAAATAAAGTTTTGGACAGCAAAAGGTTTCCCTCACCTGCTGTATGGACTGAGAGTTTTCTGATTCTGATTTAAAGATTCTGATACCAAACCTTTTCTGCAAAGCAAGAATGCATATCAACTCAACTTGTATATTGTAGGAATATTGGGAATATTTTCATGGAGAAACCTGGAAAAGGCTTAGTACCAGAACTTTTAGGCGAAAAGTTCACTGTTTTATGCACAAAAACACAAAGCTTTTGCTCACTCACACATCACAGGGTCTAAATGGCATTGTAGCATAAAATGTAGTATTTTAAGACTGTATCTTGGCTTCCGTGGCTTTTCAGAAGCTTTTCTAGACATTCAAGTATGTTGGGCTGAAGCAGAATGATCAGTGAACATTTGGAAGACAGAAAGGAAAGCAGAGGTGTTTAATCACAAGCTGGAGCCTGCTCAAAGTCAAGGACTGGCAAGCTTCCAAGAACAGTGCACCAGACATTCCCCTTTTCTTCCTCCAACTTAGAAGACGAAGCATATTGGGCAATGTTGTTTTTCAAAGAGCCAAGATGTTGCCAACTTGCTTATTTCTCTTTTTCATGTATCTGTAACTGAGGGAACTGGGTTCACGGAAATTCTGTGCTTGTATATCTCAGATGGAGGAGAAACTTCATGACAGTGCAATGAACGAAACAAATACAATGTCTTGATATACAGTTTCCTTACTTCAATTTTATTACAAATGGCTCTTAGCAGGGAGACCTATGCTTTTCTTTCCAGTTAACTGCAAATCATAACTAAAATGGTTGTTTTGGCACAATAGGATAGTGCAAATGGAAATAACTAAAATGGGACACAAAAACTAACATGGGAGGCCAGACACATTTTATAAAGGGTTCAGAAATGTGAAACAGAATCATATGTGCTCCCACATCTTGGGGTGGAAAACCTGAAGGGACTGCTTGTGGCTCACAGCTGGAAGAATGAAAAGCTACAGGCCTGGATTGCTTTAGGATGTTACACACAAGCAAAGTGAAACAGTTCTCCAGCATGTTTAGCAGCTTTTGCATCATGTCCAATGGTCTTTTCCTTTATGTCCCTTTCTCTTCCAAATTTTTCCATTTGCTCCCATTGCACACTTTCGCTCTTGAACTTGTCTTGCAACACAAACTTCCTTCTTCTGGGCACTTTGCCTGCCATTGGGATCCCTTCACAAGGCTAGAGATGAAGAAGGATGTTTGCCTTCTCTTTCCTCAGGTTTACCAAACAATCAGTAATATCCCTTCCTCCGTGAGCTGTTCCATGCAAGATGCTAGAACAGAGAATCAAAGGAACAATTATTAATCTAGGGAGTGTTATTAAAGTGCTAGTTCCTCATATTTCCCATCCCACTGTTCAGCTCTCAAATTTCAATCCCATATTCTCCTCCCAGACAATCTAAGCTCAAATGTCAACCTATTTTTTAATTCCAGTTGAGCTGTCGTCCCATATTGTAACAGTCTTCTTTAATAAAAACACGGGTGAGTACATGTTTTTATAGAAAAGGCTAGCTTTTAAAATTCAGCTAGATTAATATTTCCACAACTATGTTCTTAAAAAAGCAGAGAAGTATGATTAAAGAAAAGCATGAAAGATAATTAGAAAAAGGTATGGACAGTGCTGGATGCTCATCCAGTAAAATTGGAGCTACTTCTGGAAAGGAAGCACTACATACACAGATGCTAGGGGAACACTGTATGATTAACATGGATATTACATATGAACACCAGCTGATAATTATAAACCATTTTCAAAATTAACAGAATTTTGCAGGCATGATGTCTGCTTTTTTTTTAATCAATAAAGTGTACAACAAAGTAAAAAAGCAGAATGGAGAAAGCTAGAAACCTTTTATATCCTCTGCAATTGCTTGAGAAAAGTTCCTAAACAGCAATTAGTAAGTGTATTTAAATGTTAGCATTTTTATGTATGTGAAGTTTAAGATCTCAAGGCATTAGCCAGCTTTGGTCTCAAGTTTTTTCTTTCTGTTTTCACTTCACAAAACAAAGACTGCCTGAAGTTGCTGGTGAGAATGGACCAAAGTGAGGCAAAGGCAATTGAAAGGTAGGACAATTTAGAATATTAAGATTAGGTCTATATAGTGCTTTTGACATACACTAGAGTTTAACACAATTGGTATGAGCAAGTTTCTTCATGAATCAATGCTCTAGCCCAGTTACAATTTCGGCTCTAGCATGACAAATACTTGACAAGCAGCCTTGCCCACAAGGTGGTCTACTAATATCCATGGGATCTAAAGGAAACATTCACTATCTTGGAAGAAGTACTTTTGAATTCACTTGAATCTGCACAAAATAGAACAAGTAAGAGCAAAATCGTTGTACTTACCAAGTGAGGTTCCCTCTGCAGGACAGTCAGTCTGTTTTCCTGGGAGGCATTTTATTTGGTCTTCCATAAAACAGTCTTGGCTGTCCAGAGAATTTATCTTCTAGTTAAGAGTCCAGATGTGCCTGCATAGCTTCCAGTGTGTTTCTGCTTTAGTTGAGGCACAATTTTCACTAATCCAAGAGAGCCTCTCTGCCACATTCAGCTTAACTCCACACAGCACACATGTCCTGGGAATGGTTTTCTGAAGGTTTCTGTATTTGGTGTTCTTAATAAATATGCACCAGATTTCTTGAGTGTGACATAGATCCCCGAATTACTCTTCCCTGGACATTTGTTCAACTACCTAATGGTGGATGGTGTCATTGATCTCTTTGCTACTGGGAACATAATTTAAATATGGTCTCTTATCTCTTAATGCAGAAAGGGTCCAGAATGTTTGTTGGAAATGGTGAGTTTTAGAGGTCTACTTTTACAAAACCTGGAGCTGCAGCAACAGATGCTACTGGCATACCCCAACAAGAACAGGAAGAAGACAGTTGGTCTGGAGGATACTAAAGCAGTGTATGTGGAAAAGCTACTAAAACAGTATTATGAACCTGGAACTGGCACCTGTTCTCATCAGCCTTGTAGTAATGTGGTTTATTCTCAAGCTGACACATCTCACTTGAAAGCATATAAATGATAATTTAATGAAAACTAAAAGAATTTGTGAGGATATAATTTTGGTTTATATCAATTTTAAGTATAAAATCTTTCCAGTTTAGACCAGGTCTAAGCTATTAAGTAGAGGAAATCAGTTTAACAGGTAATACCCCAACTCTACAGACAGTTACACACACATTAAACCTAGGCTCATTACTAATTTAGAGAATTTGTGTGAATGAAAACATTCTCTTCTTTTAATTTAAGCATAGGTCAATATATTTGCCTGAGAAGCCAGATTACAACAATGCAGAGCTGCAAAGCAATACTTTGAGTGTTTCTTAGCACAGTACTGAAAGTTATGTTATTAAACAGCAGGAATAAGTTCATACCCAACAGAATCTGAGGGGGGCACTGAGGGGTATGATCCAGATGCTGGGGTGGTCTCTCCTAAGGAGGCCTCCTCTGGTGGTATGGGGTGATGTTCAAAGAACTTGGAGACAAACAGCAAACTGTGAGGCAAGAACAAAACAAAAACAGCCTAACTTGTGCAAAACCCAGAAGTTTCACAATGACATACTCAAAAACTAGAAAAAAGATCCCAACCCCCAAAATCCCATTAAATTCTAAATTTAAAAACAAAGATCACGCACATTAAATCAGCAAGATATGTTAAAAGTATTATTTACTTCACAGAGGATCAAAAGATCATGCCTTAAATATAAACTCTGTGAAAATTCATTTTTTGATCTTTTACATGGAATTGTAAACATCTAGTTCTTCAAGAATGCACAACTTATATCTATCAGCACATAACCTTATACCCTGAGCACAAACACCAGAGATGCCAATGGAAAGTTACAAATACTAAAATAAACTTAAATTAAATTCATTCTTCGTGAGAAAAATAGCATTTTAAATTACTCCTTATACAAAAATCTATTTAAAAGTCTTAATAGCCTCTGCTGAAACTAATCAAATAGAACAGACCCAGTTTACACCAGATCCTAAATCTACATCAAAGACTGACACAAATAGTTCAGTAACTCAATCCAAGAACACTGGACTGTTTGGGTCATTCTCTTTTATGTTTCTTACCTAAGCATGAATCTTGCTACCGGATTTATTTTCAATTATTGTAAAACTAACTGCAATTTCACTATAATCAACTAGTATCTCTTAAAATTTTTTCAGGTTGAAGAGAATAAACCCACAGCTAAATTTTAAACACTGCCCTAGCCACCGCATAATACAGAACTAGTTTTGATTAATAACAATGGTGAACAATGAGTAGTCTGTCTGATACAGTCAAGTGCTCAGCAACCCTATTCATGCTTCAAAAAAAGCACTTCATAGACCAGCAAAGAAATATGAACTGGTAGTCTGAGCTAGCACAGAAAGAGTATGAATTAAGCAGTCTCACAAGAACAGTTGAACCCCTATTTTTTTTTTCAGACACCTCCTCTGACTTCCTCAATTACAGATTTAACACAAGGAATCACTGACAGCTGTACACTTGTTAAAAGGCTCAACTTGAAAATCAATTGTGATTACTTACTCAAGCTGGTCATAATTAACGCACATCAATGGCACTTCTGTACTACAGCGCTGGTGAAATTTGTAGCCACAGGTCTGGCAGCGAAATCCCTGGAAAAGCAGCTTCCGACAGAAATCGCAGAACGCTAACGTGAAGAACGTTTTTCGTACCTACATTGTCAAACACAGTCACAATTACCTACAGTCCTTCTGTAAGCCAGATAGGCTATTTGCTTTTACCTCCCTCAAGTGTACTTAAGTCTCTTTTGTGATGGTGGAGCTACAATTTTACATATCAAACAGATTTACACTAAAGAGCAGCTCCTTTTTGAAACAGTTTTCATGCATTACAACATTCTTTCAACTGTTTCTTGGAACTAATGCTTCATTTCCCTAGCAGTAAGAATAAGGGCAAAGAACCTGAAGCAAAACTTCACTATTATCATGTTAGACACAAACATTGAGAATTTATTTGGATACAACCTATAAAACCAAAAGTTACTGAAATATTATTTCATATTCTAACTTTTCCAGAAGCCAAAGAACATTTCTATCTAATACTCACAGGACTAGAAATACACAGGCATGCATATATACGGCTTCAATGTATGGTCACACATATAGTTGCAATTTTGACTACTGAAACTCAGAAACATTCAGAAGGGTGATCATGATTTCTCCCCAGATTATAAGGGGGGAATGATTTAGTTAATTTTCAAATTTAGCAATAGTATAAAAACACATTCTTAGTTCTATTATTACATGTAATAATCAGAATTTCAGTGACATATAAAAAAATGTTAAGCCTACTAGAGTTCACCTAACTAGCCATAACCCAAACAGCCTGCTTGAGCTAAATAGGTTGAAACAGCTTGCAGATAGAATTTGCTATGTTTTAAACTGAAATAGAAGGTCCTTCTTCCCCAGTGTGACAAACACTATTCCCAGGATTTTGTATGTAGCTGGAAACATTTAGACAGATTGTTTAGCAGCTTCCATTTACTTAGTGCTTTATCAGGTCAAAACATATTTGTGCACTGCATCACTGATGATGTCAGCACTGCTCTGGGAATAGTTAGTTCATTAGTTAATTGCTGCTGCAGAGCCAGCAGGGAGGCCCAGAATACATTTTATAGATACAGCAATACAAAAATAGTAGATTATTACAGCTCTGCAATGCAGTACTGATATAAACCCCTTACATTTATAGATTTTAGAGGGTGTATTCCAACAAAACGTGAAAGTTTTAAGGGCGATCAAGTACTCTAGCATCACTTATTTCCAATACAATTCTATCTAATTCACTTAAGCTACTGTGATTAAAAACTTATTTTACAACTCCCACCACATCCCACAGATGCAAAATATTTCAAGTTGGTAATTTGAATTTGAAAGTATGAATATATTGATGCAACCCCACTCAGCATCTCACAAAACCCATTACATACGAAATTGTGTGTCGTGAGTGGCACATTCTCCAAAACTTCCACATGTAACTCCTCTCCCGTGAGCCAGGAAATGTCTGTATCCCAGCCAATTGGCTTCTTCTCTCTGAAGTGCAAATAAGCCTCTCATTAGCATCAGCACACAAGCCCTTGCATATCTCTTGCCAAAGTTGTAAGATCAGCTAAAAAGTTACACTGTGGGGGGGCTGCTACCCAGCCTAATTGCAGGAAACTTTAGAACAAGACCTTAGGCTCAGTACATAGCAAACAAAGTACACCTTCCCTGGCCAAACTGCAGGAAGGAAATACACTTTTTCAACCAGCTCCAGTAGTGGCCAATTCCTTGTTTCCTACGTGGCAGATGGCTTTTTGATGAAATAAAGTGCTTGTGAAGGTAACTGTAGTGTAAGAGTTCCACAGAGATGGCTAACTGTGTACATGAAGATAATATAAAAACTTTCAGGACTGAAAACTCTTTTTTTCCTACCAAGAGAACTCTGTCTCTAGTTAAGAATGCATTATAGCCAAATTAAATATAACCAAGAAGTTAACACAACCTATTTATTACTTGTTTGGTTAGCATGAATTTGATTTATGATTGTTTTGCCATAATCTCATATTACTCAATATTATGCCTGAGCCTTTTCCTAGGAGTTAGCCATTCTTTTCAACCTGTCTGCAATGTGCAAATCGTTTAGTGCAAAGTATCATAAAATTCTGAACTTGCTAAACAGCTTCTGAATAGAAATGGCCATCCTGGGTAGCTCCAATAATTGATTCTAAGAACAAAAAAGCATCCCACACAAACCATACCTATCTTGTATTCTGTAAACAGCACAACATTCTGGAATAAGACCTCTCATCATCAGCGCTTTTTTTAGGCTGTCTCGGACTGTCACTCCACATCTTGCTGGAACCTAGAGGTCAAATACAAAATAAATTAGTTAAAACAATTTCCAATTTATCCCCTAAAACTGACACAAACATTTTGACCCTCAAGTGCTAAAACTCACTCTTCAGGATGCTTTACAGAATTGTAGGTCAGAGTTTTCCAAAACCCTTTTTGTACTGAGAAAAATTTTATTGCTGAATAGTATATGAGGAAAAAGGCTCAGCTAGAAGAGTCAACAAGCTCTACACATCTATTAGCATTTGGAACAGAATCTTCACTCAACTCCAAAAGTGAATTTCCAACTTTCTTAACTGGAAGAAATTGGAAACACAGCACACAGATAGCCAATAACTACACACAGCTTTATTTTACAGGCTGGCCTGAACATAAGTGGGGAAACATGCCAAGTGAAATTAAGTGAAGGAACTAACTTGGACAGCACTCAAAAAAACATTGCAATAAAATGTAAATATTTTATTTTCTATTTCTAAAACAGAAGATAAGCATGCAAACAAGTGAAACAAAACAGTCATCTGAGTCAGGCAGACCATCACCTCTCACTTTAACCTATATTTGTAACTCTACAGATACATCTTATATGAAAATATATTGCTGTCTTCTGTTTCCTGGCTTGAAAAGTTTAGATAACTAACAGGATGGGAAGAATGGAGAAGCACATTAAAACTAGCCAAATCAAGAACTGCATACAATGTAAAGGTATTTTCCTCAGTTCTATTCTAATTGTAGGTATATTTTATACAAGTAAGTAGATCATCTCTAGGTATACCTGTGATTTAACAGTATATAGTGTCAAGCCATAAAAAAGAAAAATACATGACCTGGTGATTAAGGGTAGTTCAAGTATTGAATATTATGTACTGTTTTTAGAACTCAGTAGTGAAAACATGTAGGGCTTCAGGCACTGTACACACTGGGATATCTCCTATAATCATGGACAGTATCTCAAACACAAATCAGAAGAAAAACATACAAACTTAACAAACGTCATATGACAAGTCTGTCTGAACACCTGAAACACAAATCTAGCTTGCAAGTGGCTTAAGCCAGTGCACTCAATAGCCAAAAGCAGTCTTTTAATCAGCTTCAACTGGCTTTGGATGGGAGCCTAGTTTTTGTTCCCTGCATTTAAATTTCCATGGGTATTTAGGGGCTCTATGTCCTATTTAAGCATGACAGAATAAAGTAGAGCCTGTTTCAAGTAGCTTTGTGAACACCACTTGAGGTTACACTACATACTGCATTTCTGGAATTCAAACATATGCACTTTCAGAAGACACAAATTAAAGGAATATTTTGCTTCACCATCTTCCTCCCACATGAGAGGGCCTCTTTACAGGATATTTGTGCATTTCATCTGGTCAACACAAACATTTTAAAAAAGATTATTTTTCTGAATTCCTTGAAAAAAAATCCTACAGCACACTACTTTACAATCTTGATATTCAGCCTTAGGTGACTTTTGTTTATACATTGTATTATTTTTTAATGCATC